CAAATGGCGATCCCTCGGAGTTGAGGACGGTTACACAATTGGAATGGCATTCTAAAAATTCACACGCTGTTAACTGGGGCTTTCATCGCGCATAACTGACTCCTATGATATTAGAATTTCGACACCATTTGCATAATATTTCGAAGAATATGAGATGTTTGAAGATAAAAACACAGGATGATAACTGTGAAAAAGCAACGAAAAACTTTTCCTTGCACCATTCGAAACCAATTTATTTTGATTTTAAGTTAAATTTACACTGTTGCGAATTAAAAAAAAAGGTCATAAAAGATGTATAAGTATCAATTGTAAATTGATGTTTTATTGTCATAAAAACTAATGTATTGCAGAAATTCTGACGATGCACCTAGTTCCAAAACATTTGAAACGTATTTTTCATCCATATTTCTTCAGCAAGTTTTTTTTAATTTTCTGAATCTCCCATTTCAGCATTTATTTTTTGACTAAATTTTGCTTGATACGATTTCTGGCCCTTCAAAATATACCAATCCCCAATTCTTACAAATTGTCGCCTTTTTCGATTCACTGCCTGTTAGAAAGTGCCACCTCAGGCAACTTCGGTGGAGGAAAAGAACTTCTTTTCTTTTATAGAAAAACTTTTGATACGTTATTTTGGTAGCAATCACTGAACTTTCTGAACACCAATTTTGACTGCGTTGCTCACCAATTTAGTTGTCTGGACAGAAAAATTGCTCGTCAATAGAGTTGTTTAAAATTACACCAACAAAAACAATTGTGTAAATTATACGATTAATTTGCAAACTAAATCCAATTTGGAAAACTTTTGAAGGTTTTTATTGTTATTGGATTTAATTGCAAGAAAAGACGTAAAAATGAAAAACTGATTTTCTGTTAAGCAAAACTGCTTTTGTGTTCTAGAAACTTTGAAGTATTATTATTTTTTGATTTTTCAAGCGGAACTTTTTAATCGTTTCTGAAAATTGTTTTTTTTTTCAAATTTTGCAGACCTCTCATCACCAATAAATTCTTGGTGGAATTTTCAGCAATTTTCATGCAACAAGCTTTTCTATAAAGGCGACACAATTCGCTTCAGACGCGAGAAAATATTAATGTTCGAAAACTACAGCACAACCACTTTTTCTATGTGAGCATATCACAGGTTGTTTAACTTTTTTTTTAGTTTTATTTTTGTTTTCAAATTGAAAGTTTTTGGTTGCTTTGAAAATTTGGTTGCTTTCGCTTGAAATATTTTGCAGCTATTTTACCTAGAGGCGATGCGGAGCTTTGCGCCACTTGCGATACAACACAATCATAAAAAAACAAGTCGAACAAAAATGAAACATGATGAAAAAAACTAGGTGAACTAGGACTTCGTTTATGTCGATGAAGAATACCTAGAGCCCAAAAAAACCTGGATGCACCTGTTTTATAATTTTGAATACTGTGCAGGACGAAATGCGTGGTTTCAAAAATTGGGCATAAGTTGTGTCTACTGAAATACGTATGAGTAAAAAATTTAGGTTTATGGAATTTCTTTTTTTTTTTTAAAAAAACGCGAAAAATTGAGTAGCAATAGCTTCTGCAAGAAAATTTCGCAGATTTGATGGTATGTTTCAGAAAATTCAAAGTTTCTAAAAAACCGGTCAAAGCTCAAAAATTACTTTTGCGAATACCGAAACCTTTTTCTGCTTAAAGTAGGAAGTGCCCAAGAAAGTAGAGAAGTTTCACAAAATCGAGCTTCTCGCTTGAATTTTTATCTGAGAAGCGGCACGGTTATTTTCGAGTGAAGTCAGAAAACGGTCAAAATTTCATAACTTTTCAGGCCATAACTTTTCGCTAAAAAACTGGGCATTGCAAATTATAAAGGTAAGCTTTCAACAACCTGTTGCGTCGATTAAGCCTGTGATATCAGATTTTGCATGGTACTTATTGAGAAGCCCAAAAAACGGTTAACAATTCAGGTAGTTGACATTTCCGAGCATCATCCGAAAAAGGTTCAAAAAATGGTTAATAACTTTTCCGAGGGACAATTTTCGTGTCAGGTAGTCGGGTATGGAAAGGAAATTCCCACAACCCGTTCTTTAGATTGATCCCAAAATCCCGGATATGGGAGGCTATTGTTTGATAAAATGGCCTAAAATATTTCTCTGACATAGTAGCTGAAGTTACAATTGATATTAACCCAACTAAATTTCGGCTTTTTAGAAAACGTAACTGCAAATTTTTTGACCATGACTTGCAAACGATGAAGCAAAAGCGCCGTAAGTTTGAACGAATCTTCAATAAAGTTCCTTCACTGGAAAATAGATTGACTCTGAAGAATGCCAATCTGGATTGTCGCAAGTTATTTAAAGAGAAACAGTTTGATTACTACAATAGGGAAGTAAATCGTATCAAATCACAACCAAAGAGCTCATACAGTTCTTTCAATGAAGTTTTAGGAATTGATACGAGATCAGTGCTACCCAATAATTGTTCTTTATCAGATCTGGCAGATAAATTTAATACTTTCTTTATTGAGAAAATTGAGAGCGTCATTGCTTCATTGAAACCTCATAACTTTTATTACCGTGACTCAAATGAAACATTAGCCAGAGACAAAGTGAAATTTAGTTCGTTCAATAAAGTTACTTGTGATGATATTTATAAAGCAATTGCATCCATGTCCAATGCTACCAGCCCCTGCGATTCTATGCCAACTGAGATTATGAAGAAAATTCAAAAAAGCTGGGTGCCAACTTTTACTGGCATACTAAACAATTGTTTACAGAAAGGACATTTCCCAAATGTTTTCAAGTTAGGCATTATAAGTCCTTTTCTGAAGAAAGCAACACTTGATAGAAATCTGTTGTCTTCTTATAGACCTGTTACCCAATTATCTTTTTCATCCAAAATTTTTGAGAGAGTAATCTCGATTCAATTGCTGCATCTTTTAAACAAGCTTGATATTCTCGATCCTTATCAATCAGCGTATCGTAAAGGATATAGCACTGAATTAGCACTTTTGAACACCAGTAATGACATTCTTAACAAGCTTTCAAGCAAATGCCCCGTAATCTTAGTGGCTCTTGACTTAAGTGCTGCCTTTGACACGGTCTCTCATGATATTTTATTACGCCGTCTGGAAAATTACACTGGACTTGAAGGAGCAGCTCTTGAACTTTGTAAGTCTTATTTATGTGGTCGCTACCAGGCAGTTAAAAATTAGTAGCTGGTTATCTTCGACTGAATCTGTGAAAAATGGAGTTCCCCAAGGATCCATATTAGGTCCTCTATTTTTTAGCATTTACCTTTTACCTCTACGGTCTCTCTTTTTATCTCTTGATTTGAATTATCAAATTTATGCGGATGATGGTTTAATTTACTTATCAGCCGCAGATTTAAATAGTTCAGTTGATCATCTGAATGCAAGTCTAGTCAAAATTACCAAATGGTTTGAAATGAATAATTTGAAAATAAATTCTGATAAAACAGAAGTTCTGTTTGTTGACAGGAAGGTTGCAAGAGAAATAAACATACGTGTTAATAATGAAATTGTCAAATCAGAAGACACACTTACAGTGCTTGGTTTTATTTTTGATTCCAAATTTAACTTACAACGACAAATCAATTCTGTTTGTAGCTCGGCCTATTACATTCTGCGGAAACTTTTTAGCATAAAAGCTTTCCTTTCTTTTGAGACCCGACATTTACTCTGTCAATCCCTTATACTTAGCCGCCTTGACTATTGCAATAGCCTATATTTTGGTTTACCCAATTACCTTTTGATGAAACTGCAGAAAATACAAAATTCAGCTGGACGATTTGTATTCCAACTCAAGAAAGGAACACCAACCAGCCCTTATCTACATGATCTACATTGGTTACCAGTCTCGAAGCGAATTGAGTTCAAATTACTGTGCATTGTTTTCAAAGTACTAAACCGAAACTATTTATGTCCAGCATTTTTAAGAGACATACTCAAATTAAAACAAAATAGCTATAGCTTGCGTGATGGTCCAAAATTGGTAGTACCCAGAGTTAATTCAAGTTTAGGTAGAAGATCTTTCAGCTATTGTGGAGCAAAACTTTGGAATTCACTGCCCCAGAAAATGCGAGAAGAAACGGACTTTCAGTTATTCAGAAAATCACTGAAGACACATTTATTCAGATCTCATTATTACACATCGGCCACGTACTAAGGAGACAGACAAAACAAACACCTTTGAGTACCAAAAAGGGTGTATAATCCAGCAATGATGATGATGATGATAAAATAGGGTCTCCGATTTTTTCTGGAAGCGCTCAGGAAATCAATTTGGTCGACCAAAAAAATTTTGTTATGGAAATTCGGCATCATGGTGGAACGCGAGATGACTCTACCAAGTAACTCTACGCGCTCTTCTCTAGCACATCTATTTTCTTTCAAGCAAACGCGAAGTTTCAAATCAGAAACGTTTTCATTAGAGCTTTACGGGTAAAATCAGTGTTTGATCTAAAAAAAAGTGGGTATCTTCTCAACCTTATGGTTTTGTTCTAAGTCCCGAAGCAAGCTTGCCAATATCCATTTACGTTAGTGCTTGAAGTTTTTCTTATAAATTTCTCCCTTGGTGTATATTGTACTTCCTTTATTGTGAATAAAGTCTCTTACTACTTCTACTACTTTGGACATCAAAAGAAAAACCACCTAATGGTTTAAGAGTTTAAGAACACCTTTTCTGTCCCTTATAAAACTCGCCCTAACTTATTCAGATTGGAAGTTTCAGCTATGAAGCTAATCAGAAAAATCTATTTTATAAAAAATTGGGTCTGCAAAAACTTGTTCAAAATGCTTAGATTTGCCATAACCCAAGAAAAAAATTTCCCGTGAGTCAAATTTTTTATAAAAGAAACAAGCAGAATACTATGCCGAAAAAAGCCAAACTGTTACGCTGAAAAATTTGATTGCCAGCGCTTAAAAAAAGCCCAGTTGGGCTATTTTAAATATGAAGAAACAATTAGGCTATTTAAAATATGTTGTTGCAGCTCACTTCCAAAAACCACGTTTAAATCTTTGAATTAGTTGTCAAGTACAGGTAATATAATTAATTTCAGCGCAAAAAGAAGTGCAATTAGGAAAAGAGCCGCATGATCCAACAAACAAAAACAATATTTGATCCGAACTGTTTATTTAGAAATGCAAAATGATCACGTTCGTTCACCATACTCTACTCCCTTCGAAGAAATTACTTCTACAAATTGATGCGAAATTTCATTTCAATCACAAGTCGAGAAATTTCTTCCAAAGATTTAACTGCAGAGTTGGTAGAAGATCAAAGCGATTGAATGATCATTAGGCAAAACATTTGGGTATCCAAAACATAGAATATATTCATTGAGCAACGATTTGTTAATTTGAATATCAAAACTAAACTTCCAAGTCTAAATAAACTAACAGCAGCTAAATCTAATTTTATTATCTGGATTCAAATGAGGTAAATTCAAGTTATTCAATCTGCTTACCAAGTAGCAGATACTTTGACAACCGAACCTTGAAAACAAAGAATATTTGGTAAACTGATATTACTAAGAAACAAGCACGCCAAATCTATGAAAAGAGGATTTTTAAATTTAGAATGGGGAATGAAATTTCTGATATGATAAATACAAATCTATAGCGAAAGTAAGAATCGCATAAATGATCGCAACATAAAGCACCAAAAGAAGTTAAAAAAATCAAATAAAAACATATATCTTAGTTGATCGACATTCGGTTTCGATGCTAGCAAAAATACAAGATTTGAGCAAGAATATCCAATAAAAACAATGCTTATATTAACACATTCACCGTTATTTTTTGGTCTCAATCAGTGGGAAAATGATTGATTTCGATTTCGCATGAAACATTTGGCTGAGAATTTCGTGAAAATATGATAAGTTATTTCCTCTGTATAATGAGTGCTGGAAGTTATTTCCTCTGTATAATGAGTACTGGAAGTTAAATAAACGTTTTAAATAACTTGGTCTTCACTGATAGAAGTGTAAATTTAACTCGAAGTCTTTGTTTATAAAGTCTATCGCCTTATATTTTTGGCAATTTGGGTGCTGTTACAACCGGATTCGTGTACTCCAACAGTTTCTTGCCTTCACTCTTGTAGTCATACGTGCAGTCGTGGCTCTCGGCGTATCTGTGTTGTGCACAGAAAACCCCTTCGCATCTAAAAAAAACAGAAAAAAACTGGTCTAGAAAATTCAGCTTAAAGACATTATTTTTCAAATCGAACTGTTTTTCACTTGCGTCTGATTAAAATTGCATTTAAGATAAACGCACTACACGCTTAGTTAATTAATATGGAGTAATTGTTTCGAGTTTTAATACAGAGGCAAAGCTGCACTTCGCAAACATAGTCAGCTGACAAGGAACGCACGGATTGAACGCAAGAAAACCAAAAAAAAACGATATCTTGTTTGAAAAAACTACAACTGTCGAATTTTAAAGAAAAATTATATGCTCTTAGAGCTTTTTGAATTTCACGAACAACTATAACAAAAATCTGATAATTAAACTCAATTTTCGAAATTAGAAATCGGTGAAGTTTTTGGTGAGCTTTACAACTTTGATGTTCGATAGCAGAGTTTGCCTTCCTTTTAAGACAGGAAAAGAAGTAAGCTTAAAACATATCACACCTCAAATATAAACTTTTACCTGAAAAAAAAATCAGCAAAACCTCTATAAGAGTACACACAACGATCATTACTATAAAAAAAAACTTCAACTTTCGAATTTAAAGCTCTTAAAATTTCAAGAGGAATTTATTATTGACACATTTTGGATAAAATTAACCCAATTCGAGAACACTGGATCATAGGTAAATATTTTATTCCGCTGTGAAATCTCTAAAAACAAATTTCACTTTCTAAACTAGAAATCGATCATTTTGCCGTCCGATAGTGGAGTTTGCCTTCCTTTTAACAAAAGAAATGAACTGAAATTTAAAAAAATCAAAAATCAAACCGCGAGAAACCAATGAGCAAAAAAATTTAACGAGACATATTTAAGAGTACTCACTACATTCATAAGTCTTAATAATATTAAATCAATTTAAGAAAACTGGATCAAAATGAAAAGTTCTTGTTCCGCTGGGAAATCATGAAATTATAATCTTCATTCGAAATTAGATATCAATCATATTATTCGTGACCTTTAAAAATTTGCTGTTCGAATTAAATGAACTGAACTTGGAAAAAAAATGAAGTTAAAAAACCGAAAAATCAAATTTGAGTGTGAAGAATTTTCCTTAAAAAACCAAACAATCATCACAAAATATATGAGTCTTCACTGCGTTCACCAACTCTTAAAAACAGCAAACAAAAGCTTGAGAAAACAAAATTAATAAGTATCTTTTCCGCTGAGAAATCTTCAAAAAAATCCAACTGAGGAACTAAGTCAATCATGTTCGAGAAATTAAATTAAGCCCGCCAAATATCAATTTTCAGCATGCGAAACTTTTGATCTCATTTCCTTGAAAAAAAACATAAATAAGCGTCTGCACTTCTTTTATTAAACCTGACAGTGGTAAAAACACAGGTGAAGCTGCGCTTCGCAAACAAAAGCGAGTACACGACAAAAATCAATAAGTGCAACAAAAAAGTTGAAATAAGCCTCGAATTAGTAAAAATAAATTCGGCTAGGTTTCAGATTCGATCTGCGACCTACGGCAACCCAGCGAATATAATTCTCACGCACAAGCCACAGTCGCTAAATTATTCAAACACTAGCCTCAAACAAAGCAGAGATGCTACGAAATTTCGAATGCTACAGATCGTGATTATAGCATAAATGCCACCAAATAATGAACACTTTGCCACTAAATAATGAAAACTTTGCCACTAAATAATGAACTTTGCCACCAAAAAATAAACTTTTTTTGTGAGTTAGCTTAGAAAAAAAGAAGGTTCTTTCTAATACACTAACGCTCGCAGGGTCGCTTGTGTAATATAACTTTATTTTTCCAACCTGCATGAATAAGTTGCACCAATCCTGGTTTTCTTCCCACACACGAAACACCTCGGCTTCTTGGGAACTGGAATGTCGACAGGTACATTGCTAGTCAGTCCTGATACCTTTGCGAATCCAGAAACATCTTTATCCAGAGTAGTAGTGGCTCCTTTCAGATTTCCAGGCAGTCTATGGGTTGCAGAAGGCAGGCGATGAGATGTTTGTTTAGTGTACACACTTGTGCCGGGTGAAATCGCGGTTGTTCTTTGATAGCTCGGATGTTGGATCCTCAGATCCGATGAAAGAGGGCCTTAAGAACATTTGTGAAAAAAAATTACAAATTATACATCTTGGAAAAGATTTAAATCACTTATCGGTTCAAAGGTTTAAATCACTTACTCAACATTTGTGAAAAAAAAAGTACACTTCTTGGAAAAGATTCAAATCACTTACCAGTTCTGGGGAACGGAGGAGGTATAGGTTGCACTGTGCTATTTCGTTTGGCTAAAACATTAAGAGATTTAAATTGTTTACTAAATTTACTTTCACTTCGGCAATGAGGTAGCAACGGCTATTAACTTATGATTCGTAACAAGCAACTATGCTTAGCAAGCGACATTTTGTCGCTAAAAAGCAACAAATCATCGCAAACAAGTATGGTCAGGAATTATCGCTTAGTAGTTCTGCAAAACATTCTATATCAACAAGTCCGTTTGGTTGCTGTGCACTGCTTAATCAAAATATTTTTTATTACTTTTCTATTAGTTATGCTTAATTCATCGGCGGAAAATTGTCGCTTTGAAATGCACCACAGGGTTTTGAAATTATGTTTCATTTTTTAAGGATTTTAACGAATTTGAGGGCAATTAAGGATTAAGGCTATGACCTTTAGATGAAGTATTGGATGACACAGGTTGGAATGTTGACTGTCCTGCAAAATTGGCTCCTTTAGAGTTCGACGGACTATGCTTGTTTGATGTTGGTTCTGCTGTTGCCGTTGGTGAAATTCGTGACAGTTTTCCTTTGGCGGCTGCTCTGTCCAAAATGGAAGAAAAGTATTTCAGTTCAGCCAGGTCTGCATTGGTTAGGTTCTCAACATGAAATCCGCCGCCACTCGTGTTCTGCCGCGACCGCGGCTGTTGCTGTCTCTGATGACTGGGAATCCGATTTTCTAAGCAAACAAATGACATTTTGAATTCAAATGCAAACAGGGATAATCGGTCGTTGTGCAAGTAGCAGACAATATTCCGATCACAGTAACTAGTAAAATTTTGATTTTTAATGGCATTTTTTTTCCAAATTAATTCAAAATTATTTCATTTTTTAATTTATTTTCTAATTTTAAGTTCTAATTTGTTTTCATGGTAGCAGTAGTTGGTTCCAAATATAATCAAATAAGAACATAGCCAACAGACAGTTGGAAAACAGTCAATGAATGCAAGTAAACAGAAATGACTTCTTTTTTAAACAAATCTCACTTTTTTGATTATGATTAACACTTTTTTGATTAAATGAGTGAGGACCGATGTGGTTAACTCATAGAGTAATTTCGGATAGGGTACACCGTCTGCTCGTCACGCTATCTTATTTTCGGCCGGATAGATTCGTGCAACTTCTTAGTCTAATACCGCTCCTAATCTTACTCTTATACTTACTAGGCTCAGGGTGTTTAACTAGTCTCTGCTAGGCTTAATAGATCTAGAGTATACTGGTTTATTGCGGCAGCTGAGGTTCTCTTGGAGAGGCAACTAATTTCTAAGTTAAATTCAAATCTCTCTGGTGCTGAAATTACAAGTAATTTCAGCACTTACAAATAAGTGGGTTGTTAGTTAGATGGATTATGATTGGTTGATATTAAATATTTTACAGTGGTAAAATATCCAATTTATCCAATTATAAAATGTAGTTTGGATCAGGTTCCATCCATCCGGGTTTTACAGAGTTTTTTAGAATTATCTTTCTGCAATTTGAAGGATGGATGATGAACGTTGGTATTTGGCGAACATCATATTCTTGTCCGGTTCCTCTTGTCGACGAAGTTCCAGGACGCTGGAGTTAGGGACATACAATCGTTGCGTCGTCTTTTGACAACGACTGTGATCCCCAATGAAATCAATCTGATTTCAAAATGATTTGCTATGACGGGTTTTTCTGTATTATGTAGAGAACTTGTTTTGTGTTCAACCTCGTCTGGGAATGGCGTGGAGATCGTGTGTGGAAGGGATGCCTCGTAACTCGGATCTGTACGTATACTTGAACATCGAGGTAGTCATTGGTCTAGTTCAAGGAAGTCCTTTTCTGCGAAGTCAAGTCGTACTCTAAATCCTTTGAGTTGTGATTGTGGACGGCATGTCGGTTGTGCTGAGCCATTCTTTTGTTCGAGTGTGATGGGATCATCTAGTCTTTGGATGTTCGTCTTTGTTGTTGTGTATTGATCTATATACTGCAAAGTATGATTTACATTTTATAAAATTATGTTAGTCCAATTTTTTAATCATGATTTTGGTTAATCGTTTTCACAAAAGCGTTTTGTTTTAGTTTGGTTATTTTGAAGAGTTACTCACCCTTGAGTACCTCTTATTAAAAATAGAAGTGTGGTCAAAAAGCGTGGATGTAGCGCGGTGGGTTAGGCCGGCTGTAGAGCATGCTCAGGACGTCCTCTCTGGTGGGTTAGGCCAGGAGTGGGAGTATGATTTCGTGCTGTTTCTTTGAGAGGTCCTGTTATGTGATAACGTTTTATGTTGGGTTTATGTTGGTCTTTCTTATGTTACTTTGGTCGTGTCCTTGTTTCAAAAATCAAATTGTTTTAGGTATGGGTTTGTCTTGCGACTTTTTTGTGTTTTATTATTTCTTTCTTAGACTTTATAATAGTCTTCAAAAGAATAAATTATCCAGTTTTAAACTGGGTTAATCCGGTTTGGGTACCGTTGGTTTTCTTTTCTTAGCCATGCTGTTATTTTATGATTTGTGGTGCTTAGTAAGCTGCGTTGGTTAGTTTGGTTTAGTATATAATTCCTTTCCAACCGGGTTAAAGTAAAGTTTGAAACTTGTTATCGTGTGTTAGAGTTGTTGAGTGTGAAAACTTGAAACTTTATTTAAACAATTCTTCGTGGGCAAGCTGTGCGAGTTTGGATAGAATTCTTGTGCGAGTGAATGAAAATATCAAAAGGTTGGTACTGCTTTCTCATTTTATTAATTTATTGCATAGAATTTGAATTTTACTGCATTTGGGGGAAATTTAAAATTATAAATTTTCATCGTAATTAATTTTACTGCTTCATGGGGAAATAATTTATGGATTAATTTACTACATTTGGTATAAATCTTATTACATTATTTAGTGGAAGAAATTAATGAATTTTAAGAGAATTTAACAAGTTTGTACTTTTATTTTTCTTTTCTGTTTTTGTAGGGGATCGTGGTATGAAGACTAAAAATATAAATGAAACATCAATAAAAAATGGTTAGTACTAATTTAAATTTATTAGTGAAGAGTATTTTAAATTATACTTACCTGTTTATCGTCTGGGAAAAAGCCGTGGGGGAAGATATCGTGTATCATATCTGATGTTGTTAGTAATTTGCCTAGTATGCGAATGATGTTTTTAGTTTGGAGCAGTGGCCAAAGCAATAGAAGTGCTTTAATGGTTTTTAGTTCTTCGGTGCCTACTGCAAACTCGTAAGGTGTGTTTTGAATGAGGTTATATATTTTGTGATTATATTTAGTATTGTGAATAAATTCTAATATTGGTATTTCTATAGGCTGGATAAATTCATGCGGGATAAGGAAGGGTCTGGATTCTTCGGCGTTAAAGGTCTTCGTGATGGGACAAAATATATACATTTGTGTTACTGGGTCATAGTTGCGGAGGATGCCGTGGAGGTTAGTATCTTTGATGCAATATGTAAAATTAAGGAAAAATGGTGATGTGTATTTTGAGTTAAGAAACTGAAAAAGATGGTGTGGTTGTCTTGACGGGGTATGCAAATCAAAATGATTTTGTATGAAACGATAGTATGTATATGTGTGGGTTTGTTTAGTGCGTAACATAATATCGTGGGAGCAGTGCAAATCACGTTCATGTGGTGCAAGAAAGTGAAGGTTAGTGAAAATAACTGAAGTTTGTCATGGAAACTTTCGTAAGCTTGAATATCAGCTAGTGCTTCGGAGATGATGTGATCATATTTTCTATCAAAAATATTAAGTGTGAATACGTATGACGTTTTGATGAAAAATTTTTCTGTTAGTTGTGGGTTAGCGAAGCGATCTTTATCTAAAAATTGGTCTTGATTAGGTCGGATGATATTATGGTCGTAATATTCTATTGTAAATTCGTTAGCTCCGGGTGCAGTGAATGTTTTTAGTAATTTTTTATATCCTACGTAAGTATATTGTCTAGGTGTTAGTGTTGTAGTGAGTCTATATAACATATCTTTGTTCTTTTCTATGTCGTCATAAGTATTGGTTAGTGGTAGGCAAAGGGGGTTAGTAAAATGATAATAAGCTGTCCAGTGAAGTGTTGGCATTAAAACATGTTCATCTACAAAACTACGTGTGTCATTAGTATCATTAGGTGTGTTTAATGTATATTGTGGAAATGAGTGTAAGGTGATTGCTAGAAAATTTTTCGTGTTGGTGTGTTGTGGGTGATTAATATATTCGCAGGCTGTTCCGGGTTTGGTCGGGAATGGGTGATTCGGGAATTTTCGTTTAAAAGTGCGATAAGCTCGGTTAGTGCTACTAGGTGTTTCGGTGAATGTGGATGATTGTGCTAATGATGCAGTGTACGCTGAGGAGGGTGTAGGAGTAGGTGGGTTTGAGGATTCTATTGTGGATGACAGTTGATGTATTGTGAGGGTTTTAGGGTGTATTAACTGTTGTTGTAAGGTAATAAAATTATCGAGTTCCTGGGAAATTTGGGAGGTATTTGGAGAATTATTATATGATCGGTCGGAGTGAAGTGGAGAGTAGGTTGGGGTCACTTGCGAAGCATAAGAAGGAGTGGAAACGGATGGGAGAGAATTATTTGATGGGATTGGTTGAAAAAGGGGTTTTGAAAAAACTGAGGAGTTGGTCTGAATATTATTTGATGGAGATGGTTCGGAGTCTGCAAATTCGTCAGGGGTTTCTATATTTGGGTTATTAAGCTGTGAGGTAGAGTATAAAACTGAAATATCTGAGTTAGTATTAGAATTCGTGCTGGATGATATATTAATAATCGGAAAATCGGGTGATGGGAAAGCAAAAAGGGGGATTATTGGGATTTGAGTTTGTAGGTTGGCTGGGTGGGAATTTGAGCGGTGTAGGAATCCAAGTTGTCGGCTCATCGTGAGCTAAAAAAATGATTATTTTGAGACTGAAAAGTGGTGGTGTGGTGTTGTTCTATAATTCGTTCGTATGTATTATCATTTTGTGAATGATGTGTCATTATATGTTGGATGGGACTTTGTGGTATATTTGGTCTAGAATTCGGGTTATTTGTGAATGCTAGGTTTCGGAAATTACGTGGAACTAATGATAATGGATGGTTTTGTGGTAGGGTTGGCAACTGTGGTGCGGTAGGTGTTATTTCTATATTATTATGTTCTTCGTCATAAGTGTTCTGTCTTGTGGATATTTTCGTGTTATATTCTTTTATTTGTGCGTCTAGAAGTATTTTGTTTATTGATGATGAAAAAATTCTAAAAAATCCTGCATACAGTATGCGTGCTACACTTGCTTGTCTGTTTACTTGTGTGTGTATAGCGCATGTGTTATAGATTCCTTTTAAAAGTGAGAAAAGAAATCCTATAAAGTTGAACATTGCGTATAAGATAGTTAATTTTTCTAATATGTAATAGGGCCATCCTAGAAAAGCTAGAATTTCATTTTTTAGGGTGACAAAACTGAAAATATTTATAGGTGAAATATCCTGTGGTCTGTATTTTTCACCGTTTATATATATATATATAGTCTTTAATGTCTTTAAAATATCCGCTATAATCTTGTGTATAAATATCTGCAAATCCTGCGGTTTCGGCAAGTTTTCTTAAATTTTGGTCAATTGACTGTCTTTGTATAGTGTCCATTTGTGTTAATAATTCTTGAAATTCTTGTGTTCTGATGTGATGTTGGATGTCTGATTTAGAATATATTCCAATTGATTGTAAATCAATATTTGGATTACGATC